GGAATATGTCTTGCCTATCGTGTTCCATATGCCTGTGTAGAAAAAGTGGGATGTATTTTTGGAAGGGATTTTTTCCCCCCATCTACTCCAAGTGTTTTGTCCTCTTTCATGCAATACAGTGCTTTAGCCAATTTCCAGAAATGGTGTCTTTAATTTGGAGTTGCTGTTACTTAGATCATGTGCCTTTATCAGGCTGCATAGCATTTCCTCTTTTTATTTCATTCCTAATGACACTTAGAAAATACTATGGCATTTTTATTCTCTGAACACACAATATTTCTTCCAGTTACTTTCCATATCATTCAAGCTTCCTCTTGTGGTTTGTTTTTTCGGTTTAGTTTGGGTTTTTTTCCTTGCTTTCTCCTTGCTTCTTTAAATGAGCTTTTCACTGCTAGGAGTATTAAAATCAGCACCTTTGTCATCTTAGTTTTAGGAGGATGATCCTTAGTAAGGTCTGATTACCACTTGTTTTGGAGATGCCATTAGTTTTACTGTGTAAAAGATTTTTCCTTTGTAGCCAGGAGTACTACTGAGTGTGCTGAAGTGTTTTCTTTTCATATGGTGGTTCTTCGGGGGAATGTTTCTGGCTATGCTTCTGCTATGTTTGAATGCATCCCTTCAGATACCAGCATCTGTATAAACTTGTAAAACAATAGCACAGGCTCCTGCAGTTTGTAACATTGGGTAGCCCTGTCTTAGTTAATTACTTTAGTTAGTTTCTGAACATTTGTCATGTACACTTAAAAACAGCACGGTGGTTTTGTGTGTATGATGATACCATTTTGTTAAAATAATTAATGGGTTTTATCTGCTATCCAGCTAGTAATTATTTTCATTATATGGAGAAAAATAGATGGCTAAAGGGAATGCTGTGTTTAGTACATAGTTGCTTTACCAAAACTGTTCCTGTATCTCAGTTACAGCCTGCTAAAGGTAACTTCATCTGACTTCTTCAGCTTCCTCTAATTTGTAAACTGTCCTTTACCTTCATTTCCCCTTCGACTGCATCTGGATTATTTTTTTAAATTTCTGATTCTCTAAAATGAATGTCTAAGCCTTCCCTGATGTATCCTGATGTAGAAAGTCCTGGAAATAGAACATGGTAGGAATAAAGTGTCTTAAGCTTTTCTGAACTTGTCACTTCTTTATCTAAAGTACTCAGGAGGAAGTTTGTTTCATGGGATTCTGTGAGGTGTAACATCACTACTTGAGGGCTCTAGACTCCACACGAAAAAGCTGAACACACTTCAAGCTTACATTCTAGACCTCCTTGAGAATTTAGTGTTTGCCACATCTGCCTTTTGCAAAAGTGAACTGTTCAAAGTTCCTTGATTTTCCTCTTCACTGATGTCTTGTATATCTCTATTTTTATTTTTTTTTCAGTTTATAATCATGAAGAGGACTCATTTTATGTGCATCATGATATTCTCTTGCCTGCTTACCCTCTAAGTCTGGAGTGGTTGAATTTTGATCCTAGTCCTGATGAATCACTAGGTAAATTACAAGGAATACTGTAAATGCCCAGTTAAATGTATTTTATTTTTTTTATTTGAAAAATATATAAATGGAATGTTGTCACTAAATATTTTCCTTCAGTGATACAAGCAGAAATAAAGATAGAAAAGCTATATTAAGGTAGAAAAAGTAAATATCAGGTTTTTGTTTGAGGATACAGTCATCTTAGTGATGCTACTGTAACAAGTGATTTGACTAAAACACTGGTTTTATTACAAATAATAAAGTTACTGTAAATTAGCAGATCAGAGTAAGTTCTTCTCTAATCTACTTTTTTTTCTATTTGCAAAGGAAAGGTTTCTTCAAACTCATTATGGTCAATGCAGTTGATTAACTGTAAAATACAGCAAAATTTATAAATGTTCATGTAAATAGTAACCTTTTTCGTGTGTTTTACAGATATTCTTTTCCATAGTACAAGGAATGTGTTTTGGGGCTTTTTTTCCTTAAAAAAAACCACAAACCAAACAAAAAGAGTGTGGAACTTTGCTTCTTTGACCAGTTACTTGTACTAAAGGGGAAGCGTATTGGAGATTAAGTAATTTTTTTTCTGGCAATATTAGCTGTCAGTTGATATTTTAAATAGCTCCTTGTCAGTATTAAACATCAAATATGTTAAAATAGAAGAATCTGGCACATAAGTATAAGCTTTACTTAATCAAAGAAATAAGCAACAGCTGGGTTGCCAAGTATGCTGTTTCATAACTCTAAATAAATGTGGTTGCATCTGGATTTCTTCTTGTAGGAAATTATGTTGCAGTGGGTAACATGACCCCAGTTATTGACATTTGGGACCTTGATATAGTAGAATCCTTAGAACCAGTCTTTTCTCTTGGAAGCAAGAAAGAGAAAAAGAAGAAGAAGAAAGGAAAGAAAGTAAGTATGGCAGAATGGTTTATCTGGTTGGGTGGAAGAAACTTAGAGCAAGGATAATGCTGTTATTCCTATTTTTTCCCACATGCTGAAAACATAATAGATATTTTGGTTTAATTCCATCATGTTGGAAGATGGTGTTGAGAAAGGTTGTAGAAGACAATGTTGTGGTCATCTGCAGCAGGATAAAATTAGTATTTTCCTGTGACTCAGAGAGTTGAAAAGGCATTGAGCAATATAGGACATGGTTGACACTAATAAAATACATTTACTCAGGATTCATCTCTGTTAGCTTTATCTATGTCAAATTTAAGCATATTTTAAGCTTGTAATCGAGATTCTCTAAGGTGAATGCATAGAGTCAGCCCCAGAAAATGGCTGAGTTTCTTTTAGAGGACTGTAGAGAAAACTTTAAAGAGAAAGACTGAGGTTTAGACTGGATGCTAAGTTATGTGACATGAATCTGGTGCTCATTGTATGCCCAAAAGCCTTCTTACGATTTCTCAAAATTCTTTGGCATGGAAAACAAGTATGGAAGATAACATAACTTAAATCTTTTAGATTTCGCTTATAGTAGATGCTTTAGGGAAGGTCAGCGTGGTATGTGGCAAATCTTGGTTTCCCAAATGAAGGAGCACTCAGTGTTAGTCAGCTAAAGAACCACTCTGTGGGATTGTGAAGGTAGTTTATTTCTTGAGCTCTCAGGCCTCCTGGTTTTAAAAACAATAGAAAAAATATCCTTGGAAGTGGAATTTGTTCTGTGAAACTTGCTTCTGAAAATCCCTGAGTTATTAGAATTTCTGTTGAAGTTACCATTCATAAATGTTACCTCAATCTGAAAGGCTAACTGTTCTCTGTATGGATAATTAAACCCTGGAATCAAGAACAGAAGGAGAATGGGGTGGCCTTTGGGTAGTTTTCATTTGCTGTCCCAGTAAACTTTTAAGCTTAACCATTTTTAATTAGAATTTGTAGGAGCTGGCAGTTACAAGGGCCTAAAGCTCAGTTAATTGAGAGGCGGGAGAGGGAACTGCCAGAAGTGTTTAGAAAGAAACTGAAGAAGCTGCACATTAGCTGGAGACAATGACATTTCTTCTGCTAGCCTGAAGGGAGTAACCAGTTGTGTAAGCCCACCAGCTGTGGATGGAGCAATCTTGAGATCTGGCATAGGAAGCAAGGTGCAGGTACTGCAGAGACAGTTCTATCAAAAGCCTTGTTGCAGCAAGTGGGAATAATTTAAGACAGGAGTTGTTTGTGTAGACATTAATGTGTTCAGACTAATGTGTTGTAATGCCTGGTTTCGGTGGAAACTGTAATTCTCAAAAGTGTGTTGTATCTCTATACATAGAGTTTATCTTCAGAAGAGACAGTGAAAGGACATACTGATGCTGTGCTTGATCTTTCATGGAATAAACAAAGCAGGTAAAAAAATATTTGAATTACAATGGATGTTGATAAAATTGTGTGCTTGATTAAGCATATAGTTTTTCACACAAACCCAAAATCTTACGTAGTATAACATTGAACTTGAAAGCTGTGCTGAAGTGATTCAGTTCTCAAAAATACACACACAGCCCTACTTTTTTTGTTCGTTTGTTTTTTTTTTTAAGTAGATAATTAAATTAATGAATTATTTTTTTCACCTATTTATTTCTTCAGATCAGTTTCTATTTGCTAGTTGTCCAGTTGAGGGCAGGGCTAATGTGGGTCTAAGTCATTACATGTCTGCTACATTTAAGTCAGATGCATAATTGGACAAGCAGAAAGGCTGCCTGATCTGTGCCAGTCTGACAGTGACCTAAAACACCATTTCAACAGCTAGGAGTAGATTTATAGAAGGGAGTCCTTGCTATGCTGTTTTTTTTTCTGCTGGCTTTAGCCCCAGAGCTGCAAACAGAAAAAAAGAGTGTGAAAGGCCCAATAGCACAGTTATAGCAATGCCTCTGACCTTTGGATTTTCTGAGGCAGAAAGAATTCCCTGCTGCCTGAATGAACTAGCAATGAAGTGCTGCTATTGCAGCAACGCAGAGCTGGTTCATCTTGGGAGAGAGGTCATGGACGATGTGGTGACTGAAATAAAGATGCTGCTGGTTTTGTATCGCTTGGGTGGTTTTCAACAGCTCAACTGTCAAGAGGATCCTTAGCAAAGGCCATGAAACTGTTCCAGTCAGACACAAGCTGATTTTTTTAAATATATATTTTTTTCCTGGTGTCATAAATGTTTCTGAAGATACACATAGTCAACTCTGCTTACTTCTTCCTGATCAGCAGTTGTAAGTCTTCACTTACAATGCTTTCTTACCTAAATACCAAAGAAGGAAACTCCCACACAGACATGCTGTAAATGTACATAAATTGCAGTCTTGATTTAAACTGTGCTGTCTTTTGTTTTTAAATTATACATAAGCACACAGCATGATAGTGATCATTACATCAGTGTTACAAAGGAGTAGCTTTCATATACCTAGTAATGTTGTGTCTGGAATTCCATGATGTACCGAGTTACAGATTCATTGATACTGGTTGATATTTCAGGAAATAAAAACAGCCTTGAAGTGTGGGAGACTTAAAGGCAAAATAAGGAACTCCCTGGAGCATCTATATTTAAATGTTTTGTTGTTTGTTTGTTTGTTTGTTTGTTTGTTTGTTTGTTTGTTTGTTTGTTTGTTTGTTTGTTTGTTTGTTTGTTTGTTTGTTTGTTTGTTTGTTTGTTTGTTTGTTTGTTTGTTTGTTTGTTTGTTTGTTTGTTTGTTTGTTTGTTTGTTTGTTTGTTTGTTTGTTTTAAGCAAGACATACTATGACAGCTCTCTAGAAATAACTGCCTGTAGGTCATAATGATACGGCTGTAAAATGTTCTCCTAGCCTTCACTATGCATTTTCTTAACTTCCCCTTGTAACATTGTTTGGAAGAACAGTGTTTCCAGGAGAATGTTAGCTCTTTCAGTCAGAAATACTTGGTTAGTATTAAAAATAATAAGATAGTATAAGGGGAGCAGTTTCAGTCTGAAATTGGATGTTGAAGTAAGAGATCTGTTTATACGAGCAATGATAGCAACTGTGGTGTGTATTTGACAGGCCTTTGGGAATGTTTTGATTTTTTGTTTGATTAAACTTCTAAACTGTGTTTGTTGCTTTAACACAATTGATCAAGTTGAAATGAGGGGTCTGTAAACTAACTAAAATGTTAGTGGTTCCTTTCAGCATTCTAAGAAGGATGTACAGCATTCGGTCTTCAGTAGTTACATAAACACTCCGATATTGGAGAGCAAAATATTTTTAAAACTGGTTTGTCCTGCTCTTGGCTGTATACATATACCAATAAAACTAAGTTGCATAGGTAATGTTTAAAAATACTATATTAATGTCAAAGGAAAGGAAATGTTTTAAAGCCTTTGTTGCTTTGTTTTGTTCAATAAATCTTCCAGTAAATGATATTTTAAGTGTTGGGAGGGGGGGGAACATAAGGAAAACTGTCACTTATTCTGAGTGTTGTACTCATATATAGCCTGTTTGTAGACTTGTCGGTTAGAACTTACCCCTCAGGCTTGAGACACAGTCTATAGACCAGCAATGCACTCGATCTCAGAATCAAGCTCTGTCTGTATTTTGGATGTTTGACCATTATTTATTCATATCCGTATAAAGATTTTTAAAACTTTTTTTTTTTTTTAATCCATTATCAGGAATGTTTTAGCAAGTGCATCTGCTGACAATACTGTGATTCTGTGGGATATGTCTGTGGGTAATCCAGCAGCCAGCCTGATGCTACATACAGACAAGGTACATAATAATTATATTTCTTCCACTGTAATATACAGAGAAAAAATATCTGCAGTTTTTCATTAGCTGCTTGGTAGTTTACCCTTAGAATAACAGTTCTTTAATTTTCTAAGAACTATGCAGAATTCTTTACATTTCTGAATTAGTTGCTTTGGCAAACAACTCTGTATTTGCTTTTAAAAATGTTATTAAATTTATCCCCTAGAAAGCTTGAAAAGATACACAGCAGTTTTTAAAATGCCTTTTGTGTGAAAGCCCTGGTGGTAGGGAATCTTAATAGTGCTTAAAAGCTACAAAAAATAGATCTCTGAGCATAGGTCAAACTAACCCTCTCCTAAGGAAACAATGAGTGTCAGTTACAGTTTGTTCAAGGTAAGAAAGGTTTAAAATAAATGACACTAAAATACCATAGTGGTGGATACCTAAGAAATTAATTCCTCTCATAGTAATTAAAATGTGAAAGTTAGTTATTAATAGCTATAACCTTATTTTGCTGTCAATAAAGTCACTGCCCTTGGCAAACTCCCAACTTCCATTTTTTGCTAACATCTGCGTTTTCCCCCAAACTGGAAGCTGCTATTCTTTTACCTCTTCCAGCTTATTTTCTTAATATCAAGGGCAGGAAGGGGGCATGTGGTTCTGTTTAGTTAAACATATTGGAAAATATCTTGTTTCCATGGGACGGGAATGTTTGAAATAAAAATAATATGTGCATCTGTTGCACTGTTTTATGAGAAACCTGAGTATCAAAAAGCTTAATAGGAGGGTGTTTTTGGAGGAAATGTGTGGGTTTGGGGGATGGAGGGGTTATGCTCTTGTGTGTTCCTGTATATGAATGTTATATCTTAATGTTCATTTTTTAAAATAAAATCTTTTGTTTTCTAGGTCCAGACAGTGCAGTTTCATCCATTTGAAACTCAGACCCTTATTTCTGGATCTTACGATAAGTAAGTCAGGGTGATATTTTCAAGTGTTACATATAGAGAGGGTATTAGTTCTGAATTAAGCCCATTAAGTTGTCTCATGTCATCCTTTTCATTTGCTTATAGCTTGTGCCAAATTTGAGTAATGCTGTTATTTTTTTCCAGTAAGGTAGCCATGTTTGTATGTGCCCAAAATGTAGTTTTCCTTACCTCTTTCTCAGGACTAGTCAGTCCAGATGGTTAAAGGATTTGGCATTTTCTGTGCCAAGAGTCTGGTCCAAAGTGAATTGATTTATTAATTTGGCCTTATGGCATTTCCTGCATTGGGAATGTGTCACTGGCCCTTCCTGTGAAAACTTGTCCAGGTTTTGCCAAGTAAGACCAGGGTAGGAGCATGAAAGACTTTAAAGTTGCAGTCCACTCCTGACAAGCTCTGTTGACACGTGTGCCATAAACAAAGTCTAATAGGCTATCTCCTGTGATTGCAGCTTGGAGATACTGAAGTGGTGGTTTCTGTCTGCACACTTGGACTAGCTCTGTAACTGCTAGTTTCTGTAAGCCCTGCCAGCCAAAAAACTTCCCCCCTGTTCTCCCATCTCCTAGGGGTAGCTTTTTTATTTTGTTCTAGAACCGTGATTTTTATATATATATTTTATTTTATTTTATTACTTCTGCTTTTAAAACTTTTTCCTTGTGTTAAAAGTATTGAAAGACTTCTCAATCTTTAGCCAAACCTTTATGTTCTCTGGCTTGTGTTGTGCTCTTGCTGTATCTGCTGAAGTAAAAGTGTTGGAGAAAAACTTTTTATTGCTGTTAGGAACCTGCTGGGAAAACATCCAAACACTGATACCAGTTTACCAATCCCTTTTTAGCTAGCCCACGGACACCTACAAACAAGTGAACTATCTATACACTAGTAGGCTACCTTTGTGGATTTTTCCTGTAAAGCTTCCCAAGGCTACAGGCAATTCCAAGAATACTGGTAGATGCCTTCCTAACCTGAAAGACTGTTAAAAATTATACATGTACTAAAACTGTTGTTGTAAAATGCCTGGGGAAAGAACTGAGAAATCTAGACCACGTTTCTTTGGCTTTAATTATAGGATGGAGTGGGAGTGGGTTGCACTGTGGATGTAAATAGTTATGAGATGTTGAGAGAGTGACATCATTGCTCCCTTCTTGCATTTGCATCCAGGAGCTTTTTGAGTTGGGACAGATTCTACCATCACTGGGCTGAGCATAAGCCTGTAAATAATCTCAAAGGACCCACTAACTCCCATCTGCTCTTTTTCCTTTTCAGAGTAGCATTTCCCTAACCACTTGTAAAGATTATTTTTTTTTAATTAAGCCATATTTGAAGATGTTTGCATTTGTATCACAAATTGATTTCCTAATTAGTGTGTTATTTTGAGCAGTCATTACTTGACTCTCCTGAAGTCTGTTAATTATTAAGTGATATATTTGCATAATTATGGTCTTCTGCATGATAAGTATCTTATGTATTGAGCAAATTTGAGCACTCTTTGCTTAAACAGAATGGCTCTGTAGCTAAGATGAAACTTTGAAGCATATGGAAAAAGTTTGTGCTTATCTGGGGAATTTTCATCTGTTGTAAGATTGAAAAGTGAAGTTGTTTCCATTGTAATTTTTGCATTGTAGTTTTACATCGACCTTCTGTAGATGCCAGTGGTAAAGTTCATGCCATTATTTTATTTCTTTTAATAATTTCCCACCTCTTTTTCCCATAGATCAGCTGTGCTGTATGATTGCAGAAACCCACAAGATAACCATCGAGTGTGGCGGTTTAGTGGTCAGGTTGAAAGAGTAACCTGGAATCATTTCTCCCCATGTAATTTCTTAGTGAGTACATGCTCTTCGGTTGCCATTTCATTTAACCTGTATTTTTGTGTTTCTGAATCTTATCGTGGATAGTTGAACTGCTGGTGTTGCTTATTTTAAAAATGCTGTATGTGGGAGGATGGTTGTAGGTAGGTTTTCAGCAAGTGTGTCAAGACCAGCTACTTAACTTGGTGGTGTCTTTGCGGTAACAGTAGAAAAGCAACTGATGCGTTTTCACTCCAAAGGTGGCTTCTTTGCCATGTTGTTACAATGTTCAGCGGCTGGATGTATTTTCCCTTGCATAGCTGCTATTGTGTTTCATGTCATGAGGAAGTTGCAACTGACAAGTAGCTAAGTGGAACCAAGAGCCCGATTATTAACTCGGTGTTTCAAATCAGCACTAGAGGGCACTGTCCTCCTGGCTGCTATTGAGTAAAAATGTCTTTGTTTTGTCGAGATTTTTATAATAGAACTTTTAAACATAATTCTAAACAATTTTTTTAAATTATTTTTTAAATTATCTCAGTGGCTGTTTAGTCCTCTGTTGCAGCGAACAAAAGCAGTTGCTCAGTTCTGTTGGGTTTATGCCGTGGATCTCTCTGTGTAATCTCACTCGGCTTTGCACAGGGCTATTACATAGCCACAAGATGCTTCCAGGAAGTCTGAACTGACAGTTAAGAGACTGAAGGCTCTGTATTTAATTGTCTAATGAGAAAGCCAAGCATAGTAGTGCAACCATCTTCAAAATACAATTTGAAAAATGCATATAGGATTGAGATTTCCATGTAAGTCCCTGCAGCATAGTTTAGGTGCGTAGAATAGCTCAGGCACCAGCTGGATGGAGTCTGACTTTAAGGATGCAGAGCTGTGTCCCCTGTGTAATATGTCCTAGTGAGAAGTAACATAAGCCTGCCTCAAATCACAGGGATTTACTGGAGGGTGGGTATTATTTCACAGGAGCTTTTTGCCAAAGGAGGGACTGCTGCTGTTTGTTTTTTAAATGTTGTGGTTTCCTTAGGCAAGCACAGAGGATGGCTTTGTCTACTGTCTGGATGCTCGTGCTGATAAGCCACTGTTTACTCTGAAGGCTCATGATGAAGAGGTGTCAGGTAAACTGTGTGTTGTATTTGTCCCCAGTGGTGAGGCACAGCCGGGAGATGTCTTCAGCTGCTAGGACTGAGGTTGTTGTGATTCCTTGCTTAATAAATGAGAGTTGTGCATACTAATCAGCGGTAGCTGGCATATGAAACAAATCTCTGCTGAGAAGCCACTGTAGGCAAAGTATTTTAACAGCAGTGAGCTTTTCCCAATGAGTACGATGAATAAGCATGTCAAAACAGATCCCTGTCGAAACACACTCCCTGTGTTTTTTTGAGTGAGGACAAACACTGCAGTCTGGCCCAGGATTATGAAGTATAGTGTTTACCTCCTCTAGTCATAATTATTTTATACTGATGTTCACTCTGGAGATAATTTAGGTATAGTACATGGGAGCGTTTTCACACTGCCTCCTTTTGGCTACTTTAATTTAATTTGATCAGTGTAGGGCTTCTAAATAGCAACTTGGAGCACCACACTAGGTGTCTAAAATGAGTTTGTATGTACATGCCTGCCCTATTGTCTTGGATAGCAGAGTGTGTCTTTGGCACATGAATGAGGAAAACTACCTGGGGAAGCCAGATTATGTGAAGCAAGAAGCAGAACAATAGCATCTTTGCAATGTTACTGTTGTTGGATTGAGAGACAAAATAGCAGCTCTTGCTACAGGGAGCAGTGGCTACATGAAAATTTCTTAACTTTTTTTTTCAGTTTGTGCTGAAACAAACTTCAGTGCAAAGAGGATATTTTTTTTCTCCTTACTTCAAAATGTATCATCATCCCTGTGAAACAGTGGTTTCTTGGTGCTTTCACATTGCTTCGCTCTTGTATCTTCCAGGGCTACAACTAAGCAGTCAAATCAAAGGGTGCCTTGTGACATCATCTGCTGACAAATTTGTGAAAATTTGGGATATCCTGGGAGACAGACCGAGTTTAATCCATTCTAGGAATATGAAAATGGTAGAGTAATATTCATTACTTGATTCCAAGGTTTCTGTACAAACCGTGTCTGCCTAATCTTGTCTGACTTGAATCTGGTTTTACATAAGGTAACATCTAGGGGAAAAAAATAATCACATCTGTGTATTCTGGGTAAATCAGTCTTGTTACAGGGCAGTGTTCAGACCAACATGTAATTGGCAGAGATGGCAAGATGAAGATGTGGTTTACTGTTTGTAGTTAACAGCTCTTGACTGTCACCTTGTGTCCTTGCAAAATAAGTTGCCTAAGACTTACAGAGCTTACATTTGTTAAAACTTGCTTGATTAAAGTATTTTCAGATGCCAAATTCATTTTAGGATGATACTTAAAATCCTTCTATTTCTGCCTCCCTTCCAGGGTGTTCTTTTCTGTGCAGCTTGCTGCCCTGATTTCCCATTTGTATTTGCCTTTGGAGGAGAGAAAGAAGGGCTACGTGTTTGGGATATAAGCAAGGTTTCTGCAGGTAACATTCTCGTTTCTTTGAGTCTCGTGGTTCTCCTTGCCCACAGGGTGTATTTGTACATTCAGTAATGTTTCATGGCTCTGAGAGAAACTCTAGGTAAATATTTTTAAATACCCCAAGACTGCATATGTGTTCATGTTTTCAGCTTCACAAAACGTGGTGTTTTTCTCATTTGGAGAACTGTGTTTGCCACATTTCTCTTCTTGTAGCTGAATATGTGATTTCTTATAGTACCTATGTTTTACTTTTTTCTTAATGTTCCTGATGTAATCAAATACCACATTCCTGAGTGCCTGTAGGAACAGGAGTGAGGACTGGTTTTGTTCAGTTGTCGTAGCTACATATACCTTAATCGCCTGAATTCCTGGAGAAGGCTTTTAAGAGCTCGGTGAAAACCAGAAAGACTAAAACCAGAAATAAATTATTTAAACTTAATGTTTTGCTCTACAAAACTCATCCATTTCACAGTACTTAGGTACAGAAATTATGCACAGTGAAACCTCTAGAGATGTTCTGGGGGAGAAGTAACAGGACTTGCAATTTGAGTATCATATGCAGGTGATTGTTGGACATGTAAGATTGTACTCCCTACTTGGGGTAAGAAAGAAAGCTTTAAAAATGCACCAGGTTAGGATTTCAATTCCATGGTGTTCACTGTGCTGTACCTGCTGTACTGCTCTTGTCTCTGAACAGTAACACATAAGCAATCCTCTCTCTGTGTTGCAGTGAATGAAGTTTTTGGAAACAGAGAGAGACTTGTTCTGGCTAATTCCAGCTCTGTGGCTCACAGCTCAACGGCCAGGAGTAGCAGCAACTACTCAGAGACACCAATGGAATCATGATGGACCAAACATCACATAATCAAAGTAATTAATGGGACTACAACTAATGTGCATTCTACAAAGCTTCCTGTTTGATGACAGTTCATAGAAATCACCCAAGTGTCTTCCAATCTGTAGGCTGCTTCATCTCAGAGAAAGAAACATGGTGATGTGGTTAAGGTCTGACTCAGCAGTTCTAAGTTCCTGCTTCTATTATCAGCTTTGAAAGATTAAATCACCTGGTTTTGCCTGAGATGATCCCTGAAACAGGAGTTAACTATGTTTAAAGCTGATATATAAAATGGTCACTAGAAAAGCATCTTACTGCTACCTGAAATTTGTTGAATAATGCAAAGAAGATAAGGGCATCAAGAAAAATACTTAAGGCAGCAGTTGTGTAAAAAAAAAAATAATAAAATAAAAGCTGAATGAAATTACAAGTGTAAATAGATAATTTATCCTTAATTTGAGAATAGATTTACAGATCTATAATACAGATTTTAGAAGTGCTTCTATGTAACTTATTTAAGCCTTAAGAGTATTTCTTGGGCAGTAAGCTGGAGTCACAGAATTACAGAATCGTTGGTTGGAAAAAGCCTCTTAAGATCACTAAGTCTGACTGTTACCCCAAAAAAACCCCACCAACAAAACATCATGTCTTGAAATCTTGAAATGGGTCAATATCAAACCGAAATATCCCAACTCTATCCCACCAAGATGAAGGGTTTCCATAGGACTTGAAGCTTATTGATGTGGCATGTATATTAGGTGTTTCTTCCAGCTCCAAATGTAATATGTATAGAATGTGAACTGCAATAAGCAGGGTGAGAGGCTGTCAGGACACAAAGCCAGAGTAGGGATCTCAGCTGGTCACTGGTGAAAGTTGTCCATGCTATGTACTCACATTCTTAACTCCTCCCAGGCATTTCTGCCTCAAACCTGAAGGCACAGAGGAACATTTTGAGTATCAGCCAAACCACTGACTTAAACACTTAATTTCTAGCATCAGGAAACTAGTTAAGGCATGTGACTCAAACCATTTCTTCATATTTAAAGTGAACACCCAAGTGCCTTACCCCAGGCCAGAAGGTAAATTATTTTCTTACCCTCCTGTGAAGCACTTCCCTTGCCACATACTGGAAAGCAAAGTGCTGCTGTTGCAAAAAATGCCCTGGGTATTAAAGCATCTAGTACCAGAGCAGCGCTAGTGTCTAGTGTCCGGAAACACAGCTGACACAATGTTACCACTGCCTCCCACCCTACCTCCTTGTAACTAATCCTTGTGAGGTAAAGCAGGTAACTGTAGCAATACAAACTGCAGAGGGAGGAAAGGCAGGACTGCAGATTTCCTTCCTATCCCTTGGAGTTAAATGGCTGTTTTTAAATCCAACATAGTTGTTTCTAGTCTGGTGATAGGTGTTTTAGCATGGCTCTGCAGGAACCAAGGACATTTTGGATGTGCTGGGATTCCTGCCTCAATCCTTTCTCTGCCAAGCAATAATGAACAATGTGTAGACAACAAATGAACAACTGCTTTAGTGAAGTTTAAGAAGGTGAAAGCATCGGAATCACTTCTGTTCAAGTGCTCTCCCCTGAAAAGCTGCAAGTTCTTCAAAGCTTCCATTTCAAATAGATGTTTCGTGTTAAAGCTCTTCAAGGGTAATCACTTCTGTTATTCTTCTCCACCTCTGGTATTAACTGGCACTGTAGCTCTACCAGTGGCTTTTTTGCTTTAGCAAAGTGTGTTACCTAAATAAAAATCCCTCAAACTATCTTTCTGGAGCTTTTTATTCACATACTGATCTCAGAGGGCACTGTGCATTTTCAGGTCTGAAGAACCCAAGCAGCTCTGTAGGAAGTACAGTGTACAGGGAGGAGTACAGGGAGAATGAGCTTAGGCCATTTATGGCAAGAACCAGCACTTTTACAAGGGAACCTGCAAAGACCTTGTCAGAGACCAAGGGTCAGCTTGGTTTCCTGTTGTTCTTTTGCTGTAAAGCCAGAGGAGCCACACAGCATATCTACAAAATTTAAAGACTGTTTCTTAGCTGCACCTGTTTGTGGACGTGCAACAATACATACATTGTCCCAGGAAAGCTTGGGAGAAGCAGCTGATAAAAGAGTAATGTTACTCTCTTAGCATCATTATCAGAAATAGGAAGCTTTTTTTTTTTCAGAATGTGTAAATATTTTTTAAAAAGAGCATTAGAAAAGAGCCACATTTTTAATTTTTTTCAAAAGAAAACAACCAAATGAAATACATAATCTTCATTCCATAAATAACATTAGCAGCAAACCCTCCTATCATTCTAGGTGGTAAAAGGTTTACAGCACAAGAATATATACTGTAAACACTGCCTGACCATCTGTAAGCCTCTTCCTTACTGCGTCTATACAGTCTTTACCTCTTCACCTGCTTACATGCACTAGTGATCTAGACAGGGAAGAGGCAGTAACTATTCTCCAAAAGCCAAGTGATTTTCTGTAGTGGGGTAAGTGCTTTTTCTGTAAATGCTGATTTCATTGGCTTTTTTTGTTACCTAAAACCGAAACTACTATTTATTTTTTATTTTTAGAAGGAAACTTGAGCATTGGCAAATTTTTGCTTTGTGTCAAACCACGTCCTTCAGTTAGGAAGTGTTAAAAAGCAAAATACATCACCTGCCACCACCATCTTTTGGTTTTCTTATTGTCATGGCTTTGCCAGGTAAGGATAATTGGCTTACAGGTCCCTGCAGTCGCTTGACTACATTTCTGGTTTGTGGCTCTTTACTCATAGGGCTATGCAAGGTGTGTCATATATCTCTGCACAGGATGGATTAAGCTGAGTGATTTGGAAAAGAAGTATGCACAGTGTGAAAAAAAAAAAAAAAGTCCTTGCCTTGCATTTCCTTCTTAGCAACTCTTCACTTGCACGTGCAAGACCCATTCTCATTCAGTGAGCTCTGGGTACAGTTTATTAAGCAGTGGTAGTGTGGAGAACGAGACAGAAGGAAAATGCCTCATTTGACATGCGCTGTTGACTGGGAAAACAAGGAAGAGGGTTGTGTTTTTTTCCTTCTCTAGTTACAGCATCCAAGAAAATTTCCCCCTCTCTTTTCTTCATTTGTGTCCAGAGAGGGCATCACCTGTGGAGTAGACTCCATTGTTAATCCTACAGTCTTCAGTCCTCATAGAGTCTATTAATTCCTCCTCTGACTCATCCTCTTCTTCCTCCTCTGGGGCTGACAGGCTGGATGTGGGGCCTTTACATATTTTTAAGTGGCGAGTGAGATGATACTTGGTTAGATAAGCCTCAGTTTGACACGATTCCTAGGGGGTTGTTGGATCCGGATTCGTGGAGGAAGGTGAGGTGGATTAAGCTGAGTGATTTGGAAAAGAAGTATGCACAGTGTGAAAAAAAAAAAAAAAGTCCTTGCCTTGCATTTCCTTCTTAGCAACTCTTCACTTGCACGTGCAAGACCCATTCTCATTCAGTGAGCTCTGGGTACAGTTTATTAAGCAGTGGTAGTGTGGAGAACGAGACAGAAGGAAAATGCCTCATTTGACATGCGCTGTTGACTGGGAAAACAAGGAAGAGGGTTGTGTTTTTTTCCTTCTCTAGTTACAGCATCCAAGAAAATTTCCCCCTCTCTTTTCTTCATTTGTGTCCAGAGAGGGCATCACCTGTGGAGTAGACTCCATTGTTAATCCTACAGTCTTCAGTCCTCATAGAGTCTATTAATTCCTCCTCTGACTCATCCTCTTCTTCCTCCTCTGGGGCTGACAGGCTGGATGTGGGGCCTTTACATATTTTTAAGTGGCGAGTGAGATGATACTTGGTTAGATAAGCCTTGGAGCATTTTTCACAGACATAGTCCCTCTTTCCTTCATGTGAATTGAGATGCTTCTTCAGGTGATTTGTCCTCAGAAACAGCTTGTCACACTTGGGGCACTTGATCTGCCGTTCTCTGCAAGACATGACAAAGTTACCATTTGCTCCTGTAGCAAGGCAGCTGATAAGGTATTAAAACAGTGGGGTGGTGGTGACAGGAGGGGGGGAAGGGTCAGTCTGACTCCCAGATCGTACACTTACTTAATATACTAGAAGAAGCAGCAGACCAGAAATAACAGCACTACTGCAGCACTCAAGTGTAAATACTGTTCATTTTCCCACTACACACGCAAAGCCCCCCTTCTCTCTCCCCAGATCCCCAACATGGTTGGCAAAAAAGTCAGGCTTTTTGAATTACCTGCTTATTTGCAGCCGTTTCTCCTTTCTGATGATAAATTCACAACAACAAAAAAGATTCTACAAGGGTTTTGTTTGTTTGCTTATTTTTTTAGTAAGACCAAACTGATTAAGCTCCATGTTTTGGCATGGACAGAAATATTGCCATGGTGGAAAGGTTAGGCCTGCTGGCTTCCCATCCTCCATCAACAGGGGGAAAAAAAAAGAAGAAAACAAATCTGCTGAGTGTTAACAGCCCTTGGTCTGTAAATGCTAAGCAGAGGCCTACCAGACTGCAACAAAGTCTACAGATGACTGTGCAGAACAGCTCCCAGCAGTTACTGTGTCATTAAAATACTGCAAAGACTAGAATAGCACAACCTCAGCCAGTAACAAGCAATTTGTCCAGATAGACTTCCGAGTCGTTTTTAGAGGATGAACCTGTACTCCCCTAGGCCAAACTATTTGCAAACTGGAGATGTTCTGGGGCTCTTCAGCTTCATTATTTATTGCACTGGCTGGTCCAACACATCCTGTGGGATCACTTACTGCGTGTGAGTGAGTACATGCTGCTTGAGGTCCTGCCTCCGCATGAACAGCTTTTCACAGTAGTCACACTTCAGATTCTTCTCCCCCGTGTGGATGACCATGTGTGATTCCAGGTGAGCCTTCTGAGTGAACGACTTGTCGCAGAGGGTACAGCGGTAATTCTTCTGGCCTAGGATTGCATACATACACCCACAAATCCACAGTCAGTCCCCCACAAAATACAGTAAGCAAACAAGCCTGACCACTTCTGAAAAATAAAATGTTACCTTGAAAAAATCCAGACTATTTGTCAACAGGACCTGCTTCCTCCCACAATTCCTTCAGACTCAGCATAAAGGTCCTACATACTTACAGTCTAGATTTAGCTATACAAAAAAACCCCAAGCATATGACTTCACTTTGTAATTCCCAAAGCTGTTCATCCCCCAGCCCATGTCCTCAAGCCAAAAAACACACTTCATGCTAGTGTTTCAAACCACTGAACCCTTCATGT